TTCATGAGTTAATAATAAAATAATAATTCATCAGAAATTTTATATTTTCATCGTGGATTGAAGTTATGTATTACTATTAATTAATCTTAATATTAACTAGGCATCCAGTCTCTAGTTATATAATTTAACATAATTTATACTTATGCTTAATTTAATTAATAATTTTTTTATTTTTTAAAATTTTGAGATAATAAAAATTTTAATCCTTTAAATTTATTTTAATTATCAATTTAGTGTCCTGAGTTTAATTTTTATTCCTTGAGTTTACATCATTTATTAATTAATAAAAATTATAATTATTTATATAAAAAAACGTAGTCGCACACACGAATTTTATAAGACAAAAGAACAAATATAAGAATTAAATTGATAAAAATAAAATTGATTTGAAAATTAATTTATGTTCATTTAACTACATCTATATTGAATCACAATATAAGGTACTTATTAGATTAATTTGACAATCAATATATGCTTTTAAATTTAAAGAATTAATATAATAATTTTAAGAAAAACCTAAAGACGAATTTTAATATAAGGTAAATTTGTGGTCCTATTTATTTTTTAAAAAAGTATTTTTTTCCCCCTGGAAAACGAAAAACATACAAATTCCGAACTTTTTCCTCTCTTCCCTAAATACATATTCAATCTCTGGATATTCTCCGAAATCTATATACGCTCGCGCTTCTAAGCACAATCGAGGACGATACCTATATCCTCTCCAGACTCCATCGTCATCCTTCATCTCCAAACCCAATCCCTGTCAACGCCGGCGCCTGCTTGGCCTTTCGACGATCTTATTGCTCCAGCCTCCTTCGATCGCAGGTTTAGATCTCCTTCCGCCTTTTAAAAAAATATTCATACAATCCGGTGGATCTCAAAATTTTCCGGCGAAAATCTGATTTGTGTTTGTTGGGGTTACAATAAATCGTATCCTCACCTTGTTAATATTTTCATATACACAAACAACTCTATCTGTATTTTCGCAATCTCCCCAGGGCTATTCCAGGTTCAATCCCCCCTTGGTGGTCATTTTTCATGCATGAGATTTTATTGATCTTATAAATTTACTTTGAACCGACGCAATTTGTATTTTTTAAAATTTGGGAATAGAGTCGGGTTTGTAGTTGCTTTATTTGATCCCAATAAATGTGTTTTGCGAATTAATCTTTTGACGGTGTTCTAGGTGAATAAGGATGGGAGCATTGATATCCAAGTTTTGGTTCATGTTATTCCCTGCCCAGGAGTACAAGATTGTGGTTGTTGGGTTGGATAATGCTGGGAAGACCACAACACTTTATAAATTACATCTGGGTGAGGTCGTCACTACGAACCCTACCGTAGGTAGCAACGTGGAAGAACTCGTGTACAAGAATATAAGATTCGAGGTTTGTTAAGCATACTCTTTTCATGATTTTTTAATGTTTTGATCTCACTTCAATGGTTTCAAGTTAAATTGACACTGTTTTTTCTCTACTCTATATTTTCCTTCTGTCTCATGAGCAAGTGAGCGTGAGTAAAGCACAATGATTAACCAAAACGCGCACACACGCACATATAGTGGGCAAAGTTTCCCTCTTTTACGTGAAGAATGCCTCCTGTTAGTCGGCTTCCTTTCCTAATTCCTGGAAGAAAAACGATGTTAAGACAATATGTCTTGGTTTTTCTATATTATATCTTGGCCTCTGATTCAATTAGCAAGGATAGATTCCTTATCTGTGCTTCTTATGTAAGGAACTTTCGTGTAACAAGTCTTACCAGAGTGAATGCTGCTGGGAGTTTAATTTTGTGGTGCGAACACTGCAAAAACCATGTTTGCCCAAGCGTCAAATTGTCGCTTTTGGGCAAACCAAGGTTTGGGGCCACGCATTAATAGTTAAACATGGTTCCAACCATGGATTAAATGTGGTTCCAATCATGCTGTTGCTCCACCAATACTTAATTTGCAGATGGTGATAACTCTTAAATTATCTGCATTTTCGACATTTGTGGTTGCTTTCTGTGAAATGAAAGATGCTTTAGGTGAGCTTAAACAGACTCTTAAATTGGGTAAACCTTGTCCAGACTTGCTAAAAAATGATGCAGAAAGTTCTCTCTAAAGTTAACCCTATTTATTAAGCCCCCATTTTAATCAGATTGATGCAGAAGGGATATACAAGCGAGGTTTTCTATGATGCCGTTACTTTATTCACTGAATAGCAAATAGGTTTTATAGATACAAAACTCTCTATCAAACTGAGAGGACTCTGTCGAGATGCTAGGAATGATAAAGATAAAAAAAAAAAAAAAAGAAATTGAAATCAAATCTGAACAGAAAAGACAAATAGCGGCATACAGGAAAATAAGAAACCTAAGTACTAACATTATGGCTTTGGGCCTAAAAGCCCAATACGGTGCACCACACTAATAGCGAGTATGGAGTGATATACCTTTTAGCAGTCAAATTCTGTGTTTTTATCTATTTAAATTGGAATGATAGTATCATCTCCTGCACATGCATAACTGAGGCCATGGTTTGTATCTTTTAGGATGTTTGTTGGACACTCTTCCTTATTACATTTTGCTGATACTACTGCTTGTGGCCTAATATTTTCTATGAATCAAAATGTTACTTTTTGGGATATTAACTTAACTTTCATCACTTCTGTGTAAGTCTTCAATGTATGAATGTGTGCCCCCCTGGAAGCCAAAAAAGGGTAAAGCCTGCATGGACTTTAAAACAACTTGCTCCCTAAGTCGTGACTGGAGAAACTTCTGATGCTGTTGGAGAACTTTATGCTTCTTTTTCCTGCTCAAAACCATTAAAGCCAATTTCTGATTAACCACAACATCTCTTACAACTTTGCTTCTAGTCTAGGTTTGGGAGGGTTTTTTGGCTTCTTTTCTTGCTTTAGGGCCAAGCACATATCTCCTTCCAACTTAGGCGTTTGTGCATTTTACTTCTCTCGACTTTAAAAGTTGACAATTGGACCCTCTAGGCCTTCACTTTTGTGCCTCTCAGTACTTCTGTTAAAAATCCAAATGATTCGTGGAATCTTTCCACGTGGCAATAATAATAGCATGTTTCAGTCCTGATTTCCCCCATTTCCAGCCTCATTATGTATGTGAATCCTCTTGCTTTTGGTCGTCAATGGCAGATTTCCGCTATAATATGGCAAAACCAAACTTTGTCTGATTTTGAAATTTTCTAAATCTTCATCTTTCTCAGTGAAATTTTTTAGGGGTAATGCAGTTTGAATTAAGGGACGTAAGTATTTGAAAAAATCTTGATCATAAGCAGCCTCAAGTGACTGGATTTTGGGGCCAAATGTTTTCCGTTTTTACACTGTTGTCCAATACCTTCATGATCCTGATTGTTTTCAACAATTTTATGGGTTAATGTAGATTAAATCACAGAAAAGTAAGTCTGGCTTAATCTTGATCACAAATGGCCTGAAATGATCGTATTTCAGTGCCTAAAATCCGCCATTGTCACACTGATGTCAGATTCTGAAAGCTTCATAATCGTGATTGTTTTCTTGTCAGCTCTTGAGATTGAACAATAGGAAGTTTGGCTAAAATCTTTATATAAAAGGAATAAACCGAATTTCATGGCTGAAAGCCCCTCATTTTACTCTGTTCAATTTCCCAGCTGATGTATATCAAATCATAAGGAGTAATTCTGTAGCTAAATCTTGATCAGAGATGGCCTCGAATGACCGGATTTTGGTGGCAGAAAAATTGGCCATTTCACACAGTGCAAAAGCCAGCCATTGCTGAATGAACAAACATTGTCCCTGAAGCGGTGTGAAATCCTGCATTAACAGAAGCAATTTATCCCCTGGTTTAAATTAGAATATAAAAACTTTCTCGCGGTTTTCAGAGTCAACCTTTGAGAAGTAAAATGGTGAAGCGTTGTGGGGCTGGAGAAGGAAGGCTGAAGTGTCGAAAAGTTGTCGTTTCCCACTGAAGGTTAAGGATGACCATTTTAATATGTTTACACAAGGTGGCCTCTTTGCTGATGCAGATAAGCGCCAACAGCGACTTGGATGAAAATGTTAACACTTGAAGTCAAGTCAAGTTGCACTGAGGGATTCTTTAAGTGTCTAAAAAGTTGTCGCCCACAGAAGGTTAAGGATGACAAATTTAATATGTTTACAAAAGTTGGCCTCTTCGCTGATGCAGATAAGCGCCACCAGGGATTTAGATGAAAATGTTAACACTTGAAGTCGAGTCAAGTTGCACTGTGGGATTCTTTATATTTTGGTCTTATTTTTTGGGTGATGAGTTGTTATGCTATGCACGTCTAGTCTTTGCGTGGGCTGAAATATTACTCACTTCAATATGCAATGCATTGCAGGTCTGGGATCTGGGTGGGCAAGAAAGATTGCGAACATCATGGGCAACGTATTATCGCGGAACTCACGCTGTAATTGCGGTGATAGACAGCAGTGATAGAGCCAGGATCTCCATTATGAAAGATGAACTTTTCAGGTTGCTGGGGCATGAAGATTTGCAGCATTCTGTTATTCTAGTCTTTGCAAACAAACAAGACCTCAAGGAGGCCATGACTCCTGCTGAGATCACCGATGCTCTATCTCTACACAGCATCAAGAATCATGATTGGCACATACAAGCCTGCAGTGCCCTCACTGGTGATGGATTGTACGATGGTCTTGGGTGGGTCGCCAGCCGGGTCACTGGGAAAGCACCTTCATGATTAAACGTGACAGGTCGAGCTTCATTTTTCATGTACTCATGATTGTGATGAGTGACGAAATTCTGTGTATCATTTATACGTTTAAGGGAACACTGAACGGCAAGGCCATGCAAATTTGTAGATTGTTTATTTCAGTCGTGTACCATTTGTTGACCTGCAATGGAGAATATCATTTACCAAATGTATTCCCTCTTTTTAAGAGGACTTGTTTGAATAGGAGAAATTGAAATCTCTTCTCATCCCATATATCTTATATTTTCTCAATGTACATACGTAAATATCATTTTACATCTTCAGAACCATTTAAATTTTATTTTTTCATCCTCTTTCATTATGAGCAATAAAGTGTTCAGTATATAACCATCCCCTGGACAATTAAGCTTTCCTCTCAAACATCAAAACTATGTATTTGCTTTAACTGTCTTCTGCACAAGAAAGCATTCCATGAACACTATCTAAAAAACAATAATGTTTCAAAACTGATAGACTTTCCAGGCCAATCTGGGAAAGAAGAAAAAGTAAAACAAGAAAAAAGAAAAAGAATGAAAAACTGCCACAATCTGCTGGTTGAAGCCAATGTCAAAGTCAAACAGACAATAACTGTTGCAAATCATCCAAAATCTTCAGAGAATCCAGCATCTGCAACCATTAGAATCTTGAGGACCTTCAAACCATCGATCCCATGAGGGATTTATGGGGCCAATTGTTCTGGTAAAAAAAAAAACAAAAAACAAAAAAAATATAATTCTTATAAGGGGAAAAAAAAGATCAAATATAACATGAGATCAAAGAGATAAGAGAAGAGACTTTACACTGGAAGTAAAGGATCAGGTCTTTTCTCCACAGTACTCAGCATTCTGGCAAAAGAAAGCACCAGATGGAATATTAAAATCACAAATAAGTATTAAACTAACAATTCTTAGACGCTACATATGCTGAACTAAATTAACAATTTGGTAGCTGAATTTTTTTTTTTTTTTTAAAGTTGCATGTTGGTCCCTTTAGATGTCCATGCTCCACTTGACACACAAAAATACCAAAGTCCATTGATTTTATTTTTAGGGACTAATTCGTGTACTTACAAATTTGTAAGAATTAAAACTATATAAGCCTAACAATGTAGGGACCCAATTGCTATTTAGTCCAGATAGGTTCTTGTTTGCTTTCAAGCTTACTCTTTGCATGAGGTAGATGCTTTGTCCATCTTTTCAAGCTGCTCAAGCTCTTCCTGCATTCGATTTGTTCCCGATTAAACTCTCACAAATACAAGTCTTCAAAACTTAGGTTAGTCACTGAAGCGACTAAGAACCACTATCAACTTACACATGAAAAGCACACCAAATGGTGGCCTAGATGTCTTAAATTTCAGGCAACACTAGCCAGAGTTTGAAAATCACACAAGAGAAGACCAAAAAGCAACAGAAGATAATGTCACAGAGAGGGAAAAAGAAGGAATTGAAAAGCAGGGCAGTGAATGAAAAATGAAAACAACACTAAACAATCCAGTCTATGAAGGCAATGTGCCAATCACCATTTCTGTCGTCTTGACCAGCATACAAAGCAAAATTTTCTGTTATTCTGAAACTTGTTCCTCCAATACAATCATGTTCCCACGAAGATTTCATTTATGAAATCGATAATTATCATATCTGATATCTTTAAATAAAGGGGGGAGAATAAAACATTTCAATAACAAACGTCACAGGTAACAACTGCTATCTATTAGAACATTGTCATACAACATAAAATATTTTCAAGTTTCAAATATTAAGTGTTCTCCCGTCCAGTTCAAAATGATCAATACAGTCAGCATTTTCAATGAGAATGTTCAGACAGAAACATAAAGCATGACCATCATGATGAATGGAACTGTCTCAGCTCAGTGCAGAATTTATATTTCACATTTAAAAAGAATTGCAATCAAAATCAGATAACATACTGGCATCTGATAGTGTAATGAAGTTTGAGCACATATCAAGGTAACTAATCAAGCAAAATGGAATAGAAAGAATCAAAGAGGTCGTCAAGAAATGGGATAGACGTTAAAAAGAATACTGATCATAGTTCATCAATGTAAAAGTCTTGGACACAACTAATTTCTGTTCATAAATTTTCATCACCTGTTTTTCATTTTCCTTCCAACTGCTCATAAATTTTCATTCCAACTGCTTACTTTTGGAGCCAAGAAATAGTTAAGGAAAATGCTTCCTGTCTCCTTCCTTTACTATCCTTTACTATATGTATTCAAGCAAGGGATCAAATGGTTTCTTACATCTTTTTTCTATCCTGTTTCCAACTGCTTACTTTTGGAGCCAAGAAATAGTTAAGGAAAAAGCATATGCCCATCATACCAAGTACTGAAATTCAATTACGAGAATGGGCATCAAACCCATTCTGTTCAAACAAAGGCTCTAAGAATATATGAACTAACAATCCCAGAAGCTTAAGCTGCTAGGCCAGGACAAGCATAGAGAGAAAACTTCATTATTCCTAACACATCTATCCATCAAAACAAGCAGTATATGGCAGTCATTGGCAGGTTACAAAATGTTCCAAAGTGAGTTTGGCAACTGAAATAACTCATATATTGTTTTGCCACTTTTATCGTCTGAAAGAGATGCAATTCACAAGGGAGTTTTACCACTTCCCTAAATACTTAATAGTCAATGCTCAAGTTCCTACTAGGCAACAATATATTAGCTGATAGATATGCCTTAATTCTCACCTTAAGAACTAATTGGTTGAATTATACAACAAGCCTTGTCCCACTACGTGGAGTAATTATAAAACAATAAAAAGAAAAAGAGTGAAAATTTTGAGGCACATCTAATTGTAAGGAAGCAGAACAACTTGAGCCATCAAGCTCTCCATAGAATCATCTGAAGAAAAAGTGCAGTTTATGTTAATAACTATTAAACAGAATTAGAAGATAAAAAGAACACAAGGACTAGACTAGATGCAAAGTGTAAGACTTACAAAGGATCACCTACTTTAAAAAGTGTAAGATTAGATATACCTTTTCTTTTAAAAAAGAAAGTAAACATAAATCTTTCCTTCCACCCTTAAAAAAACAAAACACTTGATCCTCCTCTAGGTAACTCGAAATAAACCAAATTTTCCTAGTCAGTATCTTGGTCTCATCAACCCTGAAGTGAAGTTGGACCTCAAGATGCAATTCCATCTTTGTATAACTAAGATTACCTCAAGGAAAGGTTATATTTTAGATAGCTACGAGCATGAATCAATTCCACAGTTCTACAATCTTTATTGCATTCAGACTTCTACTAGGCAGCCTAATTTCCCAACAATATTTTGACCTTTGTTCAATAGTATGATCACCAAATTGATTATTGTCTCCATTTTTGTTTCAATGTTTAAATAATCATGAATACCATGAATACTTCGTAGATATAAATAATAAGCAGACTGGTGGAATCAACATGGAAGCAAATCAACAATAGTTCAAAAGGACAGACACTGGTTCTCCTCTTAAAAGGGGAAAAAAAATATTTGTATATACGTTGCCTTCTCAATCCTAGCTTTACCAATTTGAACCCCGAACCATCCTAATTCTGCTTCATTTTGAAAGGGAGAGAAAGAGAAGAAGTAGTTCTTCAAATTGGAGTAGATGCACTGGATCAGAGGAAGACCACATAAATTAAAAATGCAGACTCATGTAAGCTAAATTCTGAGGGGTGGCTCAATTAATTTTTATACATTGGCTCCATTATCATATAGAATGTGTAGCACCACACAAAGTGCCAAACAAATTGGCATGTGTTGCATGCACCACAATGCGGCAAATGAATTTGTAATGCCACAAGTGTTAAACCAAACTGAGTAACAGTTTTGTTCCCCAGCGATACTTTTGATGATCAATGGATTTTTTGGCATCTTCCTAGGGAAAAAAATGAAATTGAGCTGTCCAAGACACAAGTGTCAATCGTTAAAAAGACAGATATGAAGACAACCCATTATAAAAAAGGTAGAGTTGCATCACTTAAATGATTAAGCTCCTAATACTGCAGATCCTCTACTCCAAAGCTTTTTCCTCCTTCACAAGACAAGACTTCCAGTTATATCCCATTTGTTCTCAAAATATGATTAATAATCCAAACCTTTTCAGAAAAAACTTCAAATAGCAGGCGTAAAACCATGATTACCAGAGCTACATGGACAACAATAGCATGCATTGCAAAGTAAATGAAAAAACGCATCTACCATCTCTATATTTAATTCCTCAAACCGTCATTGTTCGCCAAATCCATAAACCATACTCATCAATTCAGCTGGCAGAACATTAACAATGCCCAGCTATAAACTGCACAAGACAAAAGCTAACAAACAGAACAAATGAAGAAAACCCTATATTACTCCCTGATAGATAAGTAAAGTTCAATTTCATCTTCCACAAATTATTCATTTCAATTTAGTCCCCCCAATTGCTAAAATGTTTGAGAGACATATATCCAACAAGTAACATCAAGCCTAGTACAGTGCTAACCTAGACATTTATCCTTGGTTTGGATGGGGAGAAAAATAGGGAAGAGAAAATACTACGAGGGAAAACTCCCAAAAATAGTTAAAAAAAATTACTATTTTTGGAAATTTTCTCTCATCCCTACTTACTTCCAACTATTCCGGTTTTCCCTCCGTCCAAACCAGGCCCTAGGGTTTACCTAAAGCTGCTAACTTAAACCCCAGGCCATTCCACCGACTAAAATTCGTTAGGTTTAGCCCTAATTATGGACGAAAATATGGAAGGCAGCGTTAAAACAATGTTCCTGCTTGAGGGATCACATTTAAAAACATGCTCTGTTGAGGATGTAATTGAAACCGCAGCTATCTGTACCAAACCAGCATTCTTTTTCCAGAGCAAACTGTGACGTTAAAACCCATCATATCCAACTTGATCAATTTCACAGCTAAGATAGAGTAATCAGTCAGCTTTCACAACACTGAAGAAAATTTTAAACTCTCCCATGGCATCAATTTTGCAAAAAAAGGCAAGGAAAAAACATCCGATCAGATAGTGAGAACACTATCAGCAAAATCACACCTAGATACGCATTAAAGAACAACAATCACATCAATAGACAGAACTCCCGAATTGGATGATGAAGTACCTCTAAAAACCTTGCTTCTTGCTCCAGTCGTTTCAGTTCCGCTTGTATTCTATGCTTCCCTCTGGTATCCGTAGATGGCAAAAACTGAACCCGGTGGTTAATCGGGCTCGCGGATTCGGACCCACTAGATTGCATCTCTGTAAGAAGCCTTTGGCACAATTGAACTTCAAAAGTTTATGACGAAACAGAGTGTATTCTGAAAAGAGGTCTGATTCAAAGTAAAGAAGCCATCTTTTAGCAAAAACAGAAGGACCCAGAAATCTTCATGGACCCCATGATGAAGTATGGCGTGAAAGGCAGAGAGAGATCTATATATCCATGCTCGTACTGAAACTGAAGGACAGAGAGAGACAGAAGAATTTTGGGAGGATATATAGATGGAAGAAGGTCCAACTTTGTTGTGTTGTGAGTTGGTGCGTTTCAACTTTCGCTGTGGAGGAATATGATGGAAAGAAGACCTTTTTAGGCGAAAGGAAAAAACTTTTGTTGAACTTGTCGTTGGGTTGTGTAATGTGTTGGTCGAAAGCTGGTTTTCTTTTGTGTTTCTCATTTTCTGTGTCTTTTTTGTCTCTCTCTCTCTCTCTCTCTCTCTCTCTCTCTCTTCTTTTGGCTCTTCCCTCCGCTCTCTCTCTTCCTTTTCCGAGTTGGTGCGGCGCGGCTCATGCGATTTCTTAGTTTAAATAATTTGGAGGTTTGACTAATCTTCTCTCCTTCCTCCAAACATGAAGTAAATTAATTCTTTTATTTTTAATTAAAAAAATTGGTGGCTCTAAAAAAAATAAATTAAAAGATGACTTATGATCTCTCTTCATTTAAAAATATAAAATATTTTTTAAATAATTAAATATTAAAAAATATAAAATATTTTTAATCTTTTAATTTATAATAATTATATTTTTTTAAAAAATATCCCTATTAATGAATAATTTTATATTTATTGTAAGATATTTAATAAAAATAAATATAAAAAATATAATTAATTTAAAATTTAATAAATACTTTATTGAGGGGTGAGATTCAATTAAAAATATATTATATTTTTGAATAAAAGGTGAATTTAGTAAAACTTATTAAAAATATTACCTATATTTTATAATAAAGTGTGATAATATTAATAAATTATTTATATATGTCATATGGAATTTAAAGAATGAACTTTATTGTTTATAATTTATGAATGACGTGGCATTGATGTGTTCAATTTAATTATTTATACATGATAAGTTATATTTGATTAATTAAAATTTAAATTAATTAGAAATTTTCACATGAAACCTACGATGGTTCAGAATTCTTTTGAATTAAAAAAGCAAGCAGGTTGAAACAACAGTAACATTTGTGAATGATTTAACTTTTATATTACCTAATGATTGCAAGGAACATTTCATTCAAAAATCTTGACTTAAAAAAAATTAAACGAACAAAAGAAAATGTAGGTATTTTAAAATTTTATGATTATATTAGAATAACTAAATTTTAATTTTACAAGTAAATTCAAGAGTTTGTGACAAACATAACAAAATTCACATGATGAAATTTGATTGGAAAATAAAAAATAATTCGTTTATACCAAGTTTCTTACATTTTACATGTTTCTTACCTAAGTTTATAAATAAAATCTCAACTATAAGTTTTATGAATAAAAAAAAATTAGTTTCATCCAATTTAAAGTCCAACAAGAGTAGTATATTATTATTCAAATGTGACCAAAAAAAATCTTATTACAATAACATCTTTTCGAAGTTGTAAATATTTTTTTGGTGAATTTCAAAGTTGTAAATATTCTTAAAATTATTACAGATCATTCTAAAAATAAACAGCTTAAAATTATATATGTAGTATTTAAGCTTTCCAAATATGCATTAATTTTTGAATGGAAAGGGAACTACTTATTTCGGTCATATCAAGAAGAATATAATATACTGATTAGAATTCAAATTAATTTCCATTAAAAGACAATAAATGAGATTTTTGCTATTTACATCAAATGTCAAAACAGTTAAGTGATTTTTAAAATAGAAAATAATAAGTGCAATTAATCATGTATATTCGGAAAAGTTAATGTGATATACTTTTTTAAACATTCATATTATTTCAATTTTAAATTTAATCCATTCAGTATTTTAAATGTATTTTTTTATTTCTTTGTTTAGATAGATAGTGAAAAAAAACAAAGGGTAGGGGAAGTATTTTTTTTTCATCTTATTTTTGAAAAATAAAAGAAAACACAAACGACCAAATAAAGTTAGTGTAAATAGTAAAGACTTTCATCATTTAAGGTTGGGAGCAAGGTTGTAACTTTTGAATTTAAGTAAACTCTTGATAAAAATATAATCTTATATCGCAAACTCGGATCGTAAACTAAAAATAGTTTACCTTTATTAATAAATAACCATTAAAATATAATTATAATTTAATTTAAATATATTAAAAAATATGAATCATTGAAATTAAACCCATCTATATTAATAAATTATCATATAGAAGACATAAAAATTTTAAAATAGGGAAATTTATTTTTGGTATTTTTGTTTTTTATTAATATTAGTTTTTGCATTTCAATTTTTTTTCTTTGAATAAGGTTTTATAACTTTTATAAATTGAATTCTTCATAGTATATACTTAACTTGCTCAACAATAAAAAAATTGACGAGCTTGATAAGTTTAATCAAACTTGTATCTAATATGAGTTTATGAATTAGTTGACACAATTTAATAAGTTAGAAATATAAAAATGGTAAACTCAGAGCTAAACTTGTGAGTTTAACTAAGTTTATGTCTAATCTGAATTTATGAGTGAGTTGACATGACTTTATAAGATAAAAATGTAAAAACATTAAATTAATAGAGTTCACTCGAGAGTTTGACAATTATGATTGGGAGAATAACATTTAGGTCTTAAAATACTAAATTAATATTAGTTAAGTTTCCTGACAAATGTTTAAAAAAATAATTTAAAAATATCAATCCAAATTATTACAAATTTAAGAGTTTCAATTGTAAATAAATATTGTACTAGTAATTTTTGTTGATAATTTTTTAAATTGATATTTATAATTCATTTTGTAAAAATTTTTATTGAGCGCCTAAGTGTCATTAATTCATTCTTTAAGATCTAACTATCATTTTCCTTTTAAGGTTTACAGCCAATTAACAACAATAATAATCATATGAAAAGGATTCTAATCTCATTTGAGATCATTTTTTTTTTTTATGAATTAGAAGGAAAGATACTAATAATATGAAGTTACAAGCGGGACGTGCGATCTCCCACTTACAAAGTAACTTACATATTATTAGGCTACATAATCCTTAGTTATTTGAGACAATTTTGAAACAGAAACAAAAATACTCATAAAATTATTAACAAGAAGCATTTAACATTATAAAGTGAGAAAAGGCGCACGAATGCTCATAAAATTATTTAAATTGATGTAAGAGTAATCAATTCTTGAAAGTTAACTGATGTCAATTAATTTGTCTCACAATTTGTGTTAGGTGGCTTTTATGCATCTGCCATGTGGCCACCTATTTCCACCTCATTCAACACTGAATTCAAGTTCACGGCTTCAATCTTGGCTCACCCATTTTCAGACGATGTACGCTAACACACAAAAGACACCAACGAAGAAAGGAGAGGAAGATCTTCGGCACTATTGCTATAATTGGAGAGGGAAGGAGACAAAAGGGCGACGGCGTGCTCAGGGAAGAGATAAGGGCAATGTTGCTGCTTGAAGAGAGAAGAAGAAGCAACTCAACAATAGAACAAGCGAGGAGGAAGAACAAACAGAAGAGGACTGATGGGGAAAGGTTTTCGAGTTTTTATATCAAGTAAAATAAATCAATTATTTACTTGAGTGTCAGAAAAACAATCTAAAGCATTTCATAAATTAATTACTTTTATATCAATTTAAATAATGTTAAGTGCACTCATATATCTTTTCTCACTTTAGAATATTAAATGTTTTTAGCTTGATAATTTTATGAGCATTTTTATTTTTTTATTCTTTTCAAAAAAATATGTCTCCCGCCCAAAATATCTCCACCGTTAAAAAGAGAATTTTGAGGAAAAAATACGCACTTCTTATATAATTTTTCCTCCACTTTTTATTATTATTATTTTTATTAATGTAGGAAAATTCTTTTTCCCTCCTATTTTCTCTTATACTATCTTTTTTCTTTTCTTTCCATTGAAGCATAAAATAATGAAGGGTGAATTGCATATTAGTTCCTCTCAAAATAATTAATTACTTTTAGATTCATTGACAACTTAATTTGGAAGAATGACAACACATTCTCCCTGAAATGAACTCAACATGATGAACTTGATGCTCATGCTTTCACACAAAGGCTAAAATAAGCCACACTATTCATAAGTTGTAAATAACTCTGTATACTTTTTATTTACATACTCCATATTGGTGATCTTAACCATATTAAGAAATAATAATTTATTTTTTTATTTCATAGTTTGATATCCTAGAAAACTTATGAGTATTATCACCTCTTATTTAAATTAATTCGAACCCTCACTATGTGAGACCGTTATTATCAATGACGATCTCTTTGGTATGTCTTTGTCATATTTATTTAAAAAAATCAAAACTAATACAACTCATTTTCTTAACTTTGCATCACAAACAAAAAGAAAACATGCCTCATAATAACATGCAGGTTACTACAAATAATTTTACTAAAAAAATGCCAACATTTAAATGAATAACAACTAATTTTGTCATACTCGAGACCGACATATTCCGCTTCATCAGGACGCCATGTGACATCAACAGTATGAGGAGACCATGTTGAAAAGGAATAGATAGCAATCACAACTCTCATACGTAACATATGATTGAGCTACTGGGGATAATCGAAATTCCTATTTTCGGTTAAACATATTTTCTTCATTTCCCTCCTACTTTTCTTCATGAAGTTATTAATTTTTTTTATCATTATTCTAATAATATGAACGTAACCAACTTAAGTTAGCATGATCCATATGAGCTCTCATTACTTAAATAAGTTATTGGAAGTTTGAATGTCAGCTCTTATGTATGTAATAACTTAGTTGTGAACAGTTTAATATTTATTCTAAGTACTCAATCTCTACTATTAAAAATGGTCTACTCGCCAAGATATATAGAAGTTTCATTTTTAGTCATTTTATTTTTGAATGTGAAATTTGCAGTGATAAGATTTATGAATAGTATGATGTGCATAATTCCCATAGTGATGTTTCCCTCCCTTGTTGAGGATGAAAAATTTTGTTAATATATTTATTCTGTAACTGAATTTTTTTGTTCCCCCACTTTATGTGTGTTTTTTAATACTTGATATGAGTGTACTTTGGGTTGAATAGGATAGGGTGAGATTGTTCTGGCACCCGGAAAAGATATTGAATTTTATGTTTGTTAATTATTCAATATATAATTACAATGAATTATATGAGAATTAACAGAGGAAATTTGGAATTATTTGCAAAATATTTTTAGATTTTTAAATGGCAGAATCATACTTCAGTAGCAATGAAAATGCCAAGCAAACATTTATAATAAATTACCCTTACTTTTCTTCTTCTCGTTTCTTTTTTTGAATCAATACTAAAATCCATCGGCAAAATAAGCTGCAGAAAATTAGAGTTGTTCATATCATCAATCATGGCATTAAAACTTAACTCGAGTTAGCTGGCCAAACCAAAGAACTAATATTCTCCAGTTCACTCGAAAGTTTTGGATGAATCACCAGGTTGAATTTTATATTTTTTTTTCATCCTTTACTAAACCTAAATCAGCATCATTTTGAGTTAATCATGACTAAGTTAACCCCGGTTCAACCATAGTTTGAACCATTGATCCTTCAATAACCTTACCGATTCAATAACAGGTTCCAGGTTTCAGTACCTTGTCACCAATAATAAGTTGAACATAATCTGCCTTCTAATTTCCAAAGACTGGGATCTATTTCATAAATCACTTGCCAAACTGGGAGATAACATCTTGCCAAGATCTCTGCACTTACTTACCTCTGAATAAGGCACCAAAGTAGAGGTCTCACCAGCAAGCTTAAGTTCTTTTGACTGTCCCATTAAAAAGGGAAATATGTAAACAAGATTATATTAAACTAATTTAAAGAGCTCATACACAAACCCTTCCTCCGTAATATGGCATGAAAGATATACAAAAGATCTGCCGCTCAAGAAAATTATTTGGGCAAATGACTCTGCCCAAAAATCTTATATAAATAACAAGGTATCTTTCCCATACGATTCACAGGAGAGATGAAAACTTAAATAAGTATAAGAAATAATATAAAAAATGGAAAATAATACGTGAGATAAGAAATATACAATATTAATATGAAAAGAAATATCCTAATAGAGCAATTATAAGAAAGTAGATGCACTAATGTAAGGATTTGAAAAGTTTATTAAAAATTACTATACTTCATCCATCCAATCATATACTAGAATATCTACGGCACAAATCCCATCCACCTGATGTGTAACTGTGTGAGAATGATTTACATCACAAAGAAGAAATTAGGAAATGAAATGAGTACAGCATCCAAAAGGGAAAAACTTTCTTGACTGCTTCCGAAAATCTTTTTTCCCAAGCGCTACAAGGGCTTTCTAGCCAAAAGTGAGCAGCATTTTCGTTTCCAGAAACACCAACAGCACGCAAAATTTTCAACTTTCTTTCAGCCATTGATATTTCAACTTTAATATTTGTATATAACATAATTATAATTCTTAAAAAGGTGAACAAAAACAACCTAAATAAATCCTTTATTTATTAAAAAAAAATTACCAGAGTTTTCTTTGTTCCCAAAATAAAGTAAACGTATAGACACCGTGATACAAAGTGAGCCTAAAGTAAAATAAAATTTCAGTCAAACAGCGAAAATTTAAAGACAAAAAGAATGAGAGATCACGAAGTAGAAAAGTACTAATATTCCATGTGCAGGCTGATAGTTCAAGAAGTCCAATGAAAGCCCCACTTACATTACAGAGACAATATCTTTATCCCAATTCCCAGTCCATAAAAAGAGTAGATCCTAATAACTGTCCAAACAAAACCAGGAAAGCAACATATATTTATATAGTATTTATCCTCCAATTTTGTGTTTCCCCAAGCAACCCTATTTAGGAAACCCATGGGAATCCAATCGGCCAAACCTTTACCTTGCATTATATAGAGGATGTAGTAGCTATTTGTAGCATGTTAAAAGTTAGATAATAATTGTGATAAGCATCACCAGGTTTGGAAGAAAAATAACAGCAGTAACTAATGCAAGAATACTAAAAGGCCTTTTAAGTCCACGAGATAAGATGTATGGAAAAACATGACATATAGAAAGACTTTTGTTAAAAAAAAAAAAAAAATACAGAAAGACTATTTCACATGATATAGACAAAAAGGAACTTAAAATATGAATGCACTCAAGGTAACCAACACTACCAATTGAATAAAAAAATTTGAAAAACACAATCACTAGTCCTTATAGTTTTATCAAATTTTATTTGTAGTTTTTGTAGTTCTTTTCTAGTGTTTTTAGTGCATATAATTTCATTAAGATTGGATGACGTTTTTTTCTCAAGTTCTTATAATTTCAGTATTTTCAATGTTTATAGTTTCCATAAAGATTGAAAACACTAAAAGAAAAACTATAAGAACTAAAAGTAAAATTCAATAAAACGATAAATACCAATGATTGTGTTTTTCCAAAAAAGTTAGATGCAATCAAGGTGAATGCTAATTAAGAGCTCACAGTATCCACTCAAATAGCAAATCATATACGCAAAGATGTGCTTGATGGGGAATGTATGGCTGCTTCATCCAAGAGCGGCTTTCCACTGTTACCATGATTGATTGCAGCATATGTACGCATAACATTTTGAATTGGACAACTGGAAGCGGCAAAACTAATTTCTCAGATAAATCCACCATTGAGAAATGAGAATGAATGGATTAGTAACACAATCAATACAAAAGGAGGGATAAAAGAATTAGCAAAAATAATAACATAGTATATCTGAGAAATTGAATTCTATTTCCAATATGACCCGCCTTGCTCAAAAAAGTGAAGTTTCCAGAAAAGAGGGTATGGTTGTATGAAGCATCTTTCCAGTTAAAGGGATAAGAATACATATCCGGAATCAAACTACCCTCTCTCCCTTGTCTGGCAAAACCTTTTTGTTCCTGGTGGAACCTTCTACTCTAATAAGCTTTAAACAAGCATAAACTAAAAAATACAGTACAAATGGAGAAAATTACTATTACTGAATAACAAAGTTGGATTACAAGCAAAATAAGGAACTGAAATTTACAGCATACTAAAATAGAAACAGCACAAAATACTCTCCACCAGCAACAATCACAAAATATAAGTCAATAACTTACACACACTAAAACAACTAGAGAAAATGATAAAGAAAGATAGTCTTCCTCCACCCCCAATCAGGCATTCAAGAGGCCAGAGCTCTCCTCACCCTCACAATTTCAAAATACTCCACAACCCCCTCTACACGAAGTTACAGATTTAAAGAGCCAAAAAATTACATATTACTCCTACCAACTTCCCCACTTTGATGTGTCAGCTGGTCTTCACCCATAGGATTTTCTCCTAAACCAATGGTCCCATTTTTGTTGTCACTTTTCTTTTTATGTCTCCTTATTAAAGTTTTGACATTGACTAGTGATGCGGTCTTATCAGTTCCCTTGTGGGAACCTGCATGCACAAATGGAGAGGTAGAGATTGAGGTATACTTCAATCGCACTATGGTGAAAATTTTCATGTAGTTATTCGCAAGTAGAGAGAGAATGCTTCCCTTGCATTAGGTTAATAGCCTATGGCTCTATTCCAAAAACATACTTCCATTGCCAGTGAAGGAAGAAAAATCAACAAAGAATGCCACTGTGGGAAAGAAGCTACTTTCAAATTGACAAATAAAAAAAATAAAAAAAATAAATAAAGACATGAAAGCCAAACTATTTTAAAATTGAAAAAAAAAAAAATTAGACGTATGGGTAGGTGCAGAGCAGCCTAAGCTTCAAAGTTGAAATGCGTTTAATTGGTCACATCACTGATATATTTACAACAGATGAACATCCCTTTGAAACTTGCAATATCAGCTTATATTGACCAGTGCAGCACACAGAGCAGCAGGTACCAGAAATTCTCTACAAGGCTAGCTCTTTTAAGAGTAACAATATGAGAGAACACAGAATCACTTGAATTTTCATTACGAATATTGTTTTGACAATGTAATGCCAATCTAAGCAGAGATTCTATGTCAAATCATAAGTGACAAATTATAGGTACTTCAAAGTTTAAATATGAAAAAGAAGTGTGCAAACTTCACCAAGTTGCGCAACTTAGAACTTTTAATTTAGGTTAAAACCTTCATCAAACATCTGATCCAAAATTGTCAATGATATCAAAAAGAAAAAGGAAAAGGAAAGAGAACCATGATCAGTTATTTTTAACTCATAAAGCAAAAGCCCATACACTTCCCACCAATCACTCTCACCTCCTAGTATACATGAATTTAATCAATAAAAATTCAAAACCTGGTGAAATACTGATGAAAGAGAGAGAAGGTGAGAAGATCAATGACGACACATGCACAAATGAGATGCAGAAGAGAGAATAACCATTAACACGATTGAAATTTTAAATGAGGAGCTATATTGTCCACAATTTATAAATAGATGACTACTTATAACAACATATATATATATATATATATATATTAGATTTGAGTTATAAAATCAGAGTTGCCTTTTCTTTTCTTTTTTGCATGTTTTCAGAATTAAGCGGCAAAAAGTGTTTTTCAACTAGGTCTTTAAACTGTGAAGTTTTACCAATATTTTTTTGTTCAGAATTAAACAGCAGAAAGTGTAACTCAACGAATTCTAAACTGAAATATTGAACAATATTGTTATTTTTCCCAATAAAATCTTTGATATACTTGGTTAATCATGGGCTTTGCAGCAGAGAAAACGTTGTTTTTGCATACTCTTTGTCCCTAAAATATATAAGTATTGAGTATTATATTCTGTCACGACCATCTCAATTCCTTTCTTGGCTATTTTTCGAAATAACAAAGTCATGACTAAATTATAAAACTAAGCAAGTATGAACAAGGTGAAAAATGTAAGTGGCGCCAATTAAGACATTATTCCTATGGCCTACAATTTTGTAGAATATAGAGATGCAATAAGGTTAAGTTATAATGGTAAATGGTGTTAAATTGTAAGTCTGAGTTGAAGTAGAAAGGATATATGCAGATCTCAAAAGAGATTGGGAAAAAATAACAAGATAGATTATCAGAGGAAAAGTAAGCACATTCTAAATCAGAGCACAATTCATTTCATAGCCCTGGCAGTATTGAAGCCCTTGCACACATAATTTTTCAGCAGCGAGTAAAGGGGAGGGAAGTAGAATGTGAATCCTTCACCAGTAATCCCCGCATGAGCATTTGCCATCCTTGAAATGATGAAACCTTTTGTTATCTCTGACAATTAATTCCCTTCCAACAATCCTGGACATGATCTTGATGGCATTGTGACAATCACCACATACACGAAGATTCTTTATAATTCTAAGAGGTGTTCTTGGAGGTGTGCTAATAAGACCATAGGCAATTGCTAGTCGCTCACTGTGGTAGAGCAGGGCTTGCTCCTTTGCTTCTTGATCAATGTCATGAAGAACATATCTTGTATCAGGAACATATCCTGCTTCTTTCATTGCACTCAAGGCTTTTAACTTCTCATCGTCCTTGTAAAGTGTAGGATTCTTATACTCAATGATTCTGTTCTTTCCATCAAGCATGCTAATTGCAGTTCGCTTCTTTGGTGGAGGGGTAGGGATCTTATTGGCAACAGTCTTTGATGGGTCAAGGCTAACCATCAACTCCTCAGCATGGTCTTCAAGATCAATATCTCCATGTGTCCGAGCATAATCTTTCAGTCTCTCCCAAACAGCAACTGTGGGTTCAAAAGGCAACTTCTCAATGTATTCCTCAGCTTCCTTAAGATACCCAGATTGACCTAGAACATCCAGAAGTCCCATATAATGCTCCATCCCTGGTTCAATGCCATGTTTACTTTTCATGGATTCAAACTGTAGGTACCCATCCTCCACAGCTTCTGAACTAGCACAAGCTGATAACACTGCTAGGAAAGTCTCTGAAGAAGGTTCCAAGCCCTGCTCTTTCATCAGCTCAAACAATTGCAAGCCCTCATCTCCCATAGTATTGTTTGCGTACCCATAAATCATCAAGTGCCAAGAATCCATATTTTTATTGGCCATGTGATCAAACACTCTACGGGCGTCAGTCATACTTTTGCACTTCCCATACATCTCAAGTACCTTGTTATTCAATTTAACATCACTCCTAAATGTAGACTGCAAAAAGTAATCATGGACCTTTTTTGCATCCTCAAGAGATTTTGATTTACCACACAAATCGAACAGAGTATCAAAACAGTTTGCGTCAGCTTTCACCCCTTTATCCAACACGTCAATAGCTTCCTTAGCCTTCCCCTCTTGGCACAATTGGGTCAAATCTATAATCGAAGGAGGTGGAGAAACAGAAGGTTGGCTTTCAATGGTTTGCCCCTGATTAGGAACTTGATTGCCCAACTGATTAGGACTTTGAAATTGAGGAACCGATTGACTGGCATTTCCACTTTGAGGGTAGACTTGACTCCGACTGTTAAACTCGTTGTGGCTTCCAGTTTGGGGGTATCCCTGATTTTGATTGTTCCATCGATTAGGTCGAGTGCTTGGCTGAAAACTAGAGTTCTGAGGGCTCATCTGGTTAGAACCTGGATATTGGGGATAGCTCTGATTCGGAGGATTCCACGGATTAGGGTTTCCTTGAGGAGCATATCGCCGCCCTGATTCAGGATACTCCCTATTCTGAGGAATCTGACCCTGATTAGGAGGATATCGACCCGGGACGTTCTGAACTCGATTAGCTTGATAGTTGGGATTTCCTTGTTGAACGTAGCCCTGGTTTTGTGCAAGTGGGTTCGATTGTTCAGAGTTCCCACCTCGAGGACCACTCTGCCATCGCGGGTCCCACTGGTTTGGGTCTCTGTGATCTCGAAAAGCTCTAGGATCGGATGAAGGTTGATGAGGATTAGTTCTCTCAAACTCGTTTGGCATCGCAGAAGTGCTCAGAGCTTTACCCAGTTTTTGATTATAGTAGTTGCTGTAGATGAAAGAAGAAGGCTGCAAGTCACAGCGTACCTTGAGGAAACAAGAAGAGAGCATTGTGCTTCGTGCACGCTGAATCACCGTGAACGACGCCATGTTCGAGTGATGAAGTGAGCAAAATGTAACCAAAACCCTCCCCTGTGATAAACCCTCGCAAGCAAACAGCCCGAGCTGAGATGAGGGATGGCGCAGGAGAATGATTCCCCTTGTAGTGTCAAAAACCCGAAAATTCTTGAAGCCTGTATATATCAGCCGTCGGATTATACGAATGATCCAGATGATGCCACTTGGCCGATGGCAAAATTGAAAATTCAACTACTAAAAGAACGCCTTCCCCTCTTAAATCTGCTCAGCTATTGGCTTGTTCAATTATAGAAGACTAAGAACAACACTGATAAATTCCTCCCAGTTATCACCAAACATCGTGAGACTATAAATTTAAACGATCAACACGGAAGGAAACCACGCCACATACAAATGTATATAGAAGGTCATAGAGTCATCACATCTGATAAAATATTAAAATTAACAACAGAATCAGAACCCTTAATTCTGATGGTCAAGACAAAAACAAGCCACATTTACATTTAGTCAATCTACAAAAAATGAAACCTGCTTTCATTTGCCATAACATATATTAAAGAAAATAATTAAAAACTATAACAAGAAGTGGTTATGCTGCAATAATATTGTAGAATCCCGACAAGGGAAGAAGGAACGAAGCATGGGCATGACAAGAACAACAGCACTGAAACAAATTCCGCCCCGTGAACAGAAAACCAGGCACGAATCAGAGCAAAATCAGAACAGTCACGAATCAGCAAGAAAAATCATAAGGCATTCGCTGAATCATCAAAAGCCAAGGGGAAGGGAAAGTCGAAAAAAACTTAAGAGTATAAGCCTCATGGCTTATAATATTATTAGACCTTAATTTTTTTACACGATTTTTCATGGCTTATACTCAAGGAAAAAAAAACCTCCTTAAAAGCAACAGCAAAGTCAAACAATCATGAACAGCAAACACAAAGTTAAAGATGAAGACGACAAACTTAGGGTCCGTTTGGTTTTCTTTCGTTTCACATTCAGAAAGTAAAATTTTACTTTCAGAAAGTTAAAAGTTGTTTGGGTAGAATATTTTGCAGGAAAACACATCCTGAAAGTATTCAAACAATAGCTGAAAGTGAATTTCTGAAACTTAACTATTTGAAACTTTTGAAAAGTGGATTTGAAAAGTAGGATGTTATTTGACCATATTACCCTAAGTTTAATCTCTTATTCTTTTATTTAAAAAATAGTTAATTCATTAAAAATATAATTATTATTTTAATAATAATAAGTAGGTATCAATTTTTTTAGTATTATAAATTGAATAATTAATCATATTAATTTTTAGCATTAATGTATATTAAAAATTACAAATCTTTATTACATCTTTTAAAATTACAAATTAAAAAATATAAATAACTAGAGATGAAATTTTTAGCATTATAGATCAAAATTTGTGTTATTTAAAATCTTTATTATATTTTTTTAAATATTTTAAATATATTACATTTGTATAATAAAAATTATAAATCATTATAAATTAATGTCCTTTTTGATAATTGTACACTCAAAAGCACATTTCACTATCACAAACCAAACAACTTTCAATGTATCAAATTAACTTTCACCAAATAAATTTTTACCAAATGAACTTTTGACAAACTGAAAACCAAACGCACACTTAAGGTGTGTTTGAAAAAGTTACTTTTCACATTTAAAAAGTTGTTTTTTACTTTGGAAAAGTTAAATGTTGTTTGGAGATTATTTATAGTGTAAAATTGACTTTTTGAATGTGCTTTTCGGACCTGGGCTGAACGGCAAAATCTAAAAGCTGATATGAGTAGCTTTTAGAAAGTCAGTTAAGGGACAATGTGATACCTATTATTTAAAATGACCATGATACCCCTGGCCTCATGTTTGTCCTTTCCTCCTGCCCGAACTCATCTGCATTTCTTCAAAACCCACCTTCTTTCTCTCTTCTCTATGCTCTCGTCTCATCTGCCGTTTGTCCTCCATATCTCTAGTGACTCTCATCCTTCTCTCCTCTGTCTCTCCCCCGCCATCTTTAGTCATAGATCTGACTTCTTCCTTCGCCGAGCTCGTGGTCTCATTTTGTCATCCTTCCTCGCCATTCCAATCACCATTTTTCATTTATAGCTCACGGATCAAGCTTCTTTTGGGTTTTGGACAGCATTACGAAGCTGACAGAAGTAAAAACACTTGAGACCTGAATTGCGCTCGGACGCTTGGAGCTTCTTTTAGGTCTTAGACGCTCAATGGTCCTCTAATTTTTTCTCCAAATCGGTTATGCTTTTGTTTTTTTTATTGAAGGTGCTTCTGCTCTGTTTGACCGTTTCTTCCACTTGCGTTGGTAATCCAAAACTTAAGAGTTTCTGGACATTGCAAATCTAAATGTTGAAGAAGAAGGTCTAGTTCGAACTTTTCTCATACTCAATGAATAGGAATGTTGTGAATCTAAACGTAGTTCTACTTTGTGTGTATGGTTCAAATTTCTTATGCTGAATGAATAGGAACCAGAACGGTGGAAATATGAACATTAATGGCTTGGTTCTGTTTTTAAATCTTGAATTATTTAGTTCAAAATTAGTTATGCTCTGTGTGTATGTTTGTAAATTTTCTTACAATGACTAATTCCTGGGTTTTGATCTCTTCTCTTGAGAATGTGTGTGTTTTAAAATTTTCTTGTGCTCAATTACTGGTAAATTATTCTGGATTTATGTGTATTTATATGTGTATTTTCAAGTTTTCTTTTGTTCAAACTAATATTGAATTATGGGTTTTAGTTTGGTTTCATAAATAAACATTGGATGGTTTTACTTAATTAATTATTAGTTGCTTTGTTTCCTATTAAATGTGGGTTGACAAATAGATCTAATTTATGTTAATTAATTATTGAAAATGTAATATTTTGATAGTAAATATGAGTAAAGAGAAGGCATTGTGGACTATTGAAGAGATCAAACTGTTTATCAAATTAGCTCTCCAACAAGTTAGAAAAAATGAGTGCAAAGGCTTTACCTTATCAGAGGAAGGTTGGGAAGCGTTAATGCAACAGTTCAATGCTTTGAACTCTAGAAGATATAATAAGAAGCAGTTGAAGAACAAATGAGACAATTTGAGAAAAGACTGGAATATATGAGACAAATTGTTAAACAAAGAGATCGGCTTGGGATGAGATAGTGAAAAAAATACTGTATCAGCACCAGATGAGTGGTGGAATCAAAAGATTAAGGTATAGAATTATATACAGCATGCTATATATTTTATGCTTTATTTTGTAAATATATTGAACTCAGTTCTTATAAATGTATAGGAGAATCCTAAGTACGAAAAACTCAGACATAGAACATTTCCATATGTACAAGAATTGACAAAGCTGTTCCAGCTAGTTGCAGCATAGGGTACTTACATGTGGACACCTGCGGCTGATGACCCACAAGATGTGTATAGGCCTCAACTGGATTTGACCAAAGGATCAGGAGACAGTGATGACATGAGAAACTTAATGGAGGAGCTCTTCCAGAAATTGGGCAGGTCAACTTGAACAATGCATACAGTGGTGATACTAATTTGGGGAGCAAGAGAAAGAGAGGTGAAAGCGGTCAAAATAAGAAGGGAAAACGTCTTGCAACTGTGATGGTTGATTCAGTGAGTCAACTGGTATCCACACAAGAGGATAGGGTTTCAACACTGAAGTCAATTCTTAATTTCGTAGAGGGTGGGACAAAACCAGTTGATCAAAATGTGGTAGATGTTGCAAAAGAACTTTATGGAATCGAGGAGATTGCTTGTGATGAGGTGCTTCTTGGACAGTGTGTTGTGGCTTTATTAGATAAGACCGCAAGGGACATGTATATTAGACTTAGGGACAACAAAAGAGCATTAGTGGCCTATTTGAAGTGCTTGGGCAAAAAAGCAGATTAGATCAATCCTAACTTGCCTTCTCAATGTTTTAAATTTAGCTATTGTCGTTCATGTTGTTAACTTTGTTTTGAAATTGACTGTGTTATTTGACTCTTGTGTTTTGTGTTTTTTATGGTAAGTCATGGACAATAGTGTAATGGTTGTTTAATTATGTCATGCAGTTTGTATGGATGACAATAAGCAATCTCGCTTATGACAATTACTTGTACATACGGAAGATGATGAGGTTGAGGCTATTACTGTAATAGTATCTAATTACTCAATAACTTTATTAAAAAGAGCTTTGTAGAACCAGTTTATAATCAGGTCATGCATGAGTGTAAGAAATTTTGCAATGGCATCCTCAACGTTGTTATGACATGTGTCGCATAGAAAAAGATGTTTTTTTTAACATTATAATAAACTGGTGCAATATGGTTTATGTTTAACCAGAAGAACAAGGATTCATGAAATGGTCGATATGTTCCTAAATATTGTTAGACATGGGGTGGGGAATAGAATGGCATAAGAATGATTTCAACATTCAGCAAATATTGTGCATAGACATTTTAAAAATGTATTGCGTGCTTGTGAGAAGCTAGCAAAGGAATATATCCAACTAAAAGATCACACTTTTCAAGATATTCATCCAAAAATTTTAGGTGATCCGCGATATTGGCCATTCTTTAAAGATGCCATAGGAGAAATCGATAAAACACATATCCCGTGCTTGGTTAGTGTGAAGAGCAAGGGAAATATATTGGAAGGAAAGGTATTCCAACACAATATAATGGTCGCATGTGATTAGGATATGTGTTCCACTTATGTCATGGTTGGATGGGAGGGGATTGCCCATGATGCTTGTTTGTTTGACTATGTACTCACAAGGCCGGACATGAAATTTCCACATCCACCCATGGTATATTTCATATTTATCTAATTTAAAATAATTTACTCAATATTTTTTAGGATCTTATATTTTTTTTATTAGTAGGTAAATATTATTTGTTAAATGCCGACTATCCAACGTCATGTGGATATTTAAATTCTTATAGATCTCATAAGTACCACCTCCCAGATTTCAGGCATTCATATGAATTTGTAAATAATAATAAGGTTTTCAATTATTATCATTCAAGCTTAAGGACCACGATTGAAAGGATTTTTGGGGTTTGAAAAAACAGACTCGTAATCTTATGACACATGCTTAGCTATCCATTTGTGA